TCTTGTCATATTTTTATTTTTCCGCACCGGTTCCTATGGCAACATGTCTGTTGGCAGAGAAAGTGTGACTCTGCTTTTAGCCTTCTGCACAACGCAAAATCTTTCTCAGGCAAGTGTTATATAAAATGGCAAGAAGAGACTACGGCTCCCTGGCTAATGCCAAAAATCCTGTACTCTCCTGAAATAGTTGGCCATCCTGTCCCAAACCAGACTCACTAAGGCAGGAGAAAATCAGCATGGAAGGTCATTGCCTATGCTGATAAAAGTATCCAAAGGCCCTACTATCCAACCATGGATACATGGATTGGTTCAAATGGCTTCCCTTCTCTCAAACTGTCAGAGACTTACTTAACTGACAGAAATGCATAATCAATTTTAAACAACCAGGGACAGCATGGAAAAGCCACTATCACTCATGTTTCTATGAAATATCCTCAGTGTTCCCATGAAATGTAGTCCAGGACATAATTATGTCCTGAACTGAGCCTTAATCCAGTGTCTAACAGGAAAGTTATAAAAACAACAAAGATGTAGGTAGGGACAGAGGACATTGTAACTAGCAATGCATTGAACCTGGGTGTTTCAGGTGGGACAATTCAGTTTCAAGTATGTCAAGTATGAAAAAGGAAAGAAATTGCATTCAGGATGGTAGCACAAACCTGTAATTCCAACACTCAGAAAGTGGAGCAGGAGGATCATAGGTTCAAAAGCAGCCTGGCTATATAGTGAGATCCTGCCCCCAACAACCTGGGGGAGTAGCTCAGTGATAAGAGGTCTGTGCAAAGCCTGGATTCGATTCCTAGTACTGCAAAGAAAGAAAAGCAGAAGGAGAAACAAAGGGAAAGAAGGGGAGAGAAAGAAGGGAAAAAAGTAAAGGAAAAGGGAAAAAAGAAAAGGAATCTAGGAAAAGCTGAAGATCTGGATAAAAGGGTGTCTTCAGGCTTTAACCGTCTATATAGAACAAATGCGATCCACTTTATGAAGATTTTGTCAATAAAATATTATTCATAAAATATCTTTTACTTTGAATTTTAAGTTCCATTGTAGCTTGGCACTAGCAACTCCAAATCTCCTATGTCCTCAATATTCAGGAAAAAAGCAGGAATTGTTGTTCAGAAATTAAACAGGCTTTACTTGAATGTATGTATGTAGATTTTTTTAAGGGAAAGTTGATGCATTCAGGGGAATGAAAATAGATGTTAAGAAATAAAAATACAGACATCTCTGCTATAGTTAAGAAAATTAGTGTAAATGACCCATTTTTTGCTGAGTCTTAAAAATATGTCATACTTAAGCACATTGATGTTTTAAAGTTAGCTGCATATATTGTACAAAGGTATATTTTGGCTCTTTAAAGGTTATTTTCCTACATTCAAAGAAGTTTTCTTATATTAAAAACCTTTCGTGACTCAGGTTTTGTGTCTGTATACAGACGCACATACATAGGAGGGTTTTTTCCTTTGCTCATTTGTTTTGCACAGCTGAAGTGATAAGTTTAAATAATGCCCAGGTATGTTGGTCCACTGACCTTTACAGTAGTTAAGACTAAGGAAAGCATTTGACAAATGGACAAAAGAATCACATTGTGTCTCTCTGTATCTCTTCATCCCTCTTACACCTTCCCAGCCTTCTACTAAAGAATATTGCTTATTTAGTCAGGAACTCTTAGGTGACTGTTTGGAAAGTCTATAGGAAAAAACAAGATGAACCTCTCAGGCAGACTAGAGAATATAAAGTAGTTCCAATATTGACTAAAAAAGGTAATTTATATTCAGAATGTAATGTGAAGATAAATTCTCTTTTCAGTACTTATAGTCTTTCCATTCAGAGGACTCTTGGTGGTCTTGAACATGGGAAAGGCACCTGGTTCAGATCAGGACTGCATGCTAAGCTTTACCTTAGGAAATTACATTTTAGCTTTGGTGACACCTAGCGTCGACAGAGTGCAATACGTATATCCCCTCTGAAAACGCAAGAGTTAGTATAAGTTCTCTTTATAATCAGGGCATAGAAGAGACCTAAAGAAACACAAAGATAATAACCTTGTTTAATATAGAGTAGGCATATTTTCCCAAGCTGGAAAATCAGAAGCAAATCTAAATTGTAAACTTCAAAAGACCATCACAAATGACCTTGTAAAAGTAAGGTTATTGGAGGTAACTATAAGTTACTGCAAGGACTACAGATTTATTTTTTTCTATTTTATGACTCCCCCAAAACACCATCCACCCAGCTGTGTATAAGAACCACAATATGAACTTTGCCCTCATTCTATTCAGAGAAGAAATATTAAACTAACATAAGTGATTCTAAAGACTGACAGGTTTTCAACTTGGTTGTTAGGAATTATTTTTTAAAGTACTGCATACTATGTTTTAGGTTATTTTAAGATAATATTCATAAATATTATCTTTCCATTTTTCTAGACTACTGATAATTATTTTTCCCTCATTAATTTGTGAGGAATTGCATTTTTTATTCTACACAGTTCTAATTTTCTTGCATTCAAAACACACACAAAGGTTTTCCATTTTGAGGTCATACAAGGCAGTGAAATATTTCACTCTCCTGTAAGTTTAAAAAAAATTCCTAAGTAGTGATACTACTTTGAATCACTACTTTAGTAAAATTATTACAGTCTCTAGACTTCTATTTTGTGACATAGAACTTCACTACCATATGTGCAGCACAACAGTGACATCTTAAGGCCAAGTAAACAACAGCTCTTTCAGTCAGAGAAAGAACTTGAATTGGGATATGATTTCAAAGAAATTCCATTACATTACTACGTAGTTTTTCAAGTTTACAAAATGCAACCAGTAGATAAAGTGCTTCTTTATGACTTCTTTTGCAGTCTTTGTGAACATTTTAATGTGCATTGGTAAACACTGACATTTTTACATAGACATATTGTATATTAATGCATGCATTCCACTACATAGTTTATCGATGCTTCCCTTGTAAAGCTTTTATGGAAATACCAACAGGCCACAGCAGCATAGCAAAAGAGGCTTAATCTTTATATAAATTGGGGCCTTTTCTGTCTCTTTGCTAGCCTAGGTGGCTATATACAAATTCGGGTGGGAGGGGGCAGGAAACACCTCTTAACAGTTAAGATTTTCTACTTGGATGTACTCTAGCCAATTCAAAACAAAATGCTTACTTTAATAAAAAAAAAAGTTTTACCATTTTATAAAAAAATCAAATCATGACATGTTTAACTGAAATGGCTGTATTGTAATTAATATTTTGAAATAATTGTGATTTTGAGCTTCAAATTATATATAAAATGTCATTTTTGTACGTGTTAAAAGACTCCTATATCATGATTTAACAGTACTTTTTAGTTAAACTACATATTGATGTAAATACAACTGAATGAAGACATATTTACTACTTTATTAACATAGATTGTGAATGTACTTAATGGGTTTTTTTCTGCAGTATGAGACCATAACAACCTTGAAAGCTGCTTCATTTATGTGCAAAGAAGTCCTATGAATCTATATTTTAAATTTACTGAATCAGTGAAATTAATTAATTTGCAAATGCAAGAATATTCTCCAGTTTTATTTTATGTATTGATACTACTACTGGGTAAAGGTGTACAATGTGATTAGGATGCATTTTGAAGATGCTTTCTGTACAGACACAAAATACAGGGACTAAAATAAAGCTGTGCAGTGTATAGCAGAGCCATTTTTCGGCTTTGATGTACTCAACTTTTTCAGTATTTAAAAAAGTGTTTTGAATAACATAAAAGTCTCCTTATTGTATAAATAATAAAATGTCACCTTATTGTAAAGTGTCTTTGATTTACTATTCAAGCAGACTTCTTAGAGACCTAAAGACATGTTTCTTTACAAACAAAAACATTGTAATTGATATTTGAAAAATGTAATTTTTATTATGAACATGTAGTATCTTTATTAACAATGATTTTTCATAATATAAGCATGCCTTAATCTAAAAATTTCTATATCTATCTATCTATTGATCTATCTATCTATCTACTGATATACATGCTACTACCTTAGCTACTTAATAGAATCATATGGTAATTCTAGTAATTTGGGATAAACGAAATTGTTTATATTTGAGTTTTATTAAGTCAATCTATACAAAATTCCTTTTACAAAATAACTTTATAACTGCAAGTTCAGTCTTGATAACAGCAAGCAAATCTCAAAATTAAGGTGCCAGAAAGAAAAATCTATACAGAGCTTCATTAAAACCTACCCAGAGGTATGTTATAAAAGCAAGTATACAAATATACCTGCTTTGTAAGTGTTAAAGCAAAGTACTCTTTGAGACTTCTATATAATATAGACTACTCATTGGTCTCTGTTTTCTGTAGGATTAATAAGATAAGGAATTCAATTTTATTTTCTTGGAAGAGACAAAAAGTACTTAAATACACCCCTTTTCACTGAGAGGAACTATGCAGATCCAATCTTATTGAAGCTCCTGAATTAAAAGTACTAGAATATCATCTTGAAAACAACACCAACACTTAAAAATATTATTGTTTTAATGCCAAAATTGTGAGAGTAGCAACAGTAACACTACTTTCTCCAATAACTAAAACTTGAGTAGTATTTCTATAAAGTAAGCCCCCCTGATGAAATGATTTCATAAAACAGAAGGAAAACACTAAATTGCTAGCAAACAAAAAACTCACTAGAGTAAGAAGAAAAAAATCAAGATAGTAAATGCTAATTCAAAGCTTTTACTGAAAACAGGGCACAAAGTTTTATCCCAAAACTTAGGAGGCTGAGGCAGGAAGATTACTCATTAGAGGTCTCCCTGGGCCACATAGTCACTATCTAACAAAAAAACAACAATTAAAAAAAAAACCACCACCAAAAACAACAACAAAAAAACACAACTTGGGGGCTGGGAAGGTGGCTCAAGTGGTAGAGTGCTAGCCTTGAGCTGAAGAGCTGAGGGACAGCGCCCAGGCCCAGAGTTCAGGCCCCATGAATGGACCCAAAAAAAAAAACACAACTTGAACTGAGATTAATCACATTACAAAAGACTTATGATGGGTATGAAAAGTTTTACATGTTTTTAATGCCAAAGAATGATATTAAATGGAATTCATTTTATTTCTATTAAAAAGATAGAAATTGGATATTCATATTCAAGTCAACTAGTCACAGCACATGGAATACAAAAAGAAACAAGGGGAAAAACCCAAATCTACAAAAATGCTGTTATTATAAAAATATTAAATCACATCAAATAAACTATACTTTTGAAAACAGTACTTACACTGTTAAAAGGAAATGAATTTGAGTAGGAAAACTTCTGTGTAAAATATTCAGAACATGTATGGAGGAAATTACATGACTATATGCATTTAACATCATTATAAATATGCATGACATTTCAGAAAAATGAAAGAATAGTAAGAGAACTTTGAATGACAATGATTATAGCTAGCTCAACTATACCAATGTTTAGGTAATTACTGGCAAACTGTAGGATCAATTTTAGCTGTTACCTTTGGGATGGTACTAAAACAAAATGTTCTACTATCCTAAGGATTAAGAAACAACTAATTTGTAGGAATTCGGTCTCTCAAATACTCCAGGACAGCAGCTGTTCCCTTCATTAATATGGCTGCTCGAGGAACACGGAATGGATTTCCATCTAGCAGTAATGTCCTAAACAAAAGAAAGAAACAGAGAACTTAAACATTTTCTATTTGTGGACGTTTCTTTCAAGGAAATAAATTATTATTTATAATTTTATAAATCATGCACTTTTTCATATTGGTCCATTTTCAAATCAGAGCACTTAAATACTTGGAATAATAGCTGTAAGAACCAACACACAATATTAATTGAATAATTATTACATGAAACTAATTAAAATAAGTAACTTTTATTTACTGGTCAATTTTTCAATAACTCTATGATGTAGGTACCATAAATATTCCTATTTTACAGATGAGAAAAAACAAATTTAGGGAAAATAGGCTTGCTTAAAATCAAATAGTTCCTAAATGCTGAATCTTTGGTTTGAATCACCATTTACTCTAGATTCTTCTCAGTTTTATATGACCACATAGTAAGTGATCAGATTAGATTATATAAACATTCAAACTGACAAGCATCCATCCACACCAAAAATCATAATCTATTTATTAGTTCACCACTTCCGAAAAACATTAAAATGTCTGTCCGTCCTTGACTACACACACACATGTCAATTAACATGTTTGGAAATAAAGTTCCTAAGCCCTTTAAAACTTAAAGACTTGTTTTCTTTATATAATTCATGAAATATCCTCAATTAAAAATATTTTAAAGCTGGGCACTGGTGGCTCAGGCCTATATGGCTCAAGTGGTAGAGCACTAGCGTTGAGCTGAAGAGTTGAGGGACAGTGCCCAGGCCCAGAGTTCAAGTCCCATGATCGAAAAAAAAAAAAAAAAAAATATATATATATATATATAAATCAATTTTAATACTGATTGTGCAAACAAAATCAGAAGCCATATACCATATTGTATAGTTGATCTAAATTTTATCTTTAGCCAGGCATGGTGGCAAACACCTAAACCCCAGCTACTCAGTAGGCTAAAACAAAAGCAATGCACTTGAAGTTAATCTGAGATATATAGCAAGTCCTTATCACAAAATAAAATTTAAAAGGATTGGAGATGCAGCTTAATAGTAGAGCTCTTGCCTAGCACACCTGAAGGCATGGTTTTAATTCTTAATACCACAAAGAAAGGCAAGGAGAGGAAGAAAGGTAGTAGGGTCAGGGAGTAGGGAAGAGGGAGAGAGAGAGCGAGATCACCAATATTTATAAATTATTTCAATAATTCCTTTAAGTGTTTTTTAACTCCTGGGGAAAAAGTTAATTATAGTTGAACTTAATTATTCACAGATTCCATATTTGCAAATTTGAATATTCACTGAAGTATGCAACTCCAAAATCAGTATATGTGGTACTTCAGGGGCATTTACAGGCATGCACAGAGCATAGAAAAGTATGAATCATTCAAAAGGCTATGTCCTAGCTTAAGTCAAACAAAGTAATGCTCTTTCTGTTTCAGCTCTTATATTGGAAACAAGTGTCCTTCCTGTGGTCAATCAAGTGCAACAGTTTTCAAATTCCGTACTTTTTCTTGATGATTTCACTGTTTAAAATGTCCTCTAATAGGTGTGAAAAGGCATTCATACAACCTAGCACTCTGGAGGCCAAGGCAGGAGAATCTTGAATTTCAACTCAGCCTAGGCCATTAGGACTATGTTTTAAAAGATTTTTTTAGATGACTCTGTCTTCCTTTTTTATGTATGGTGTATTCAAGTGTATATCTTCAGGAAGGTTGGGAGAAGGGTACAGAGCTCAAGGGGAAAAGGGTGAAAAAATTGTAGAAGTGGAGCTCACTGGACACAGAAGAAAGTGAACTATACAACTTGTGGGTAGAGACAGGAGGGAGAGACTGGGAGAGAGTGAGGGAACAGAAGACACTGTATGAAAGGAAATGTACTCATCACCTGACTCATGTAACTGTAAGTCCTCTGTATATCATCTTTATAATAATAAAGTAAATTAATTTTTTAAAAAGATAATTTAAATTTAAAAAATAAACTAATTAAATAGCCCCAAAGTATAGTGTTGAAGTACTTCCAACTTTCACAGGTACAAAAGTGTATAATGGGGGCTGGGAAGGTGGCTCAGTGGTAGAGCACTTGCCTTGCATGCATGAGGCCCTGGGTTCAATTCCTCAGCACCACATAATCAAAAAGAAAAAAGCCAGAAGTGGCGCTGTGGCTCACAGCTTGAGCTGAAGAGGGACAGCGCCAGGCCCCGAGTTCAGACCCCACAGCCGGACCAAAAAAAAAAAAAAAAAGAGTATAATGAAGAAAATACATACATTATTTTAAGATTAAATTATAGTGCTCTTGGCCATGAATTCAATGCTAATGAATCAACAATAAATTTAGAAGGTGTCTACACAGAAACACACAAAACAAGGTTATGTACTGATGGGCTGATAAAAATGTTGGGATCAGACTCTTACAGAAAAAGAATACTTAGAAGCAATATTCAATATTCTCCAGTTCACTTCACAAAGACTTTATAGAACATGACTATAGTCAATAATAATAATCATCTAAGTTTACTTACAACAGATACCAGAACTGACCCAGTAAAGTAAAATTGGCCAAAAACTTAATATTCAGATAGTTATAGTAAAGTTATTTCTGGCACGTTCTGCTTAACTAGTTAGCTTTCTAGTAACATCCCCAATTCCCTTTATATCTAATGGACTTAATGAGTGTTTACTATGTTTTAGGCACTAGAACAAATCTTTTTTAAAGATGGCAAAATAGTGATAGAAACTGAGTCCAAAAGAGCATGATGATACATCAGAACAGGAATTAATTTTGCTGGAGAATAGCAAAGACCTTCAAAGGGGATAGTATGGTTACTGATGACAACCGTCTAAAGACTGAGGGGACAGCTACTGTAAACAGTACAAACAGCCTCTCTATAGCAGCACACAGACTGAAACTGGAATGACACAAAGAACATAAGCATAGTCCCTGTGCAAGGATGGCACAAAAAAAGGAGAAAGGAGAAGGGAAAAGGTAGGGCAAATAACTTTGTTAACATTGTAAGTTAACAAACATAAAGGAAACAACATTAAGAACCCCAGTAAAAGCTTTTGATCAATGGCTGAGGGACAGGGAGAGAAACAGACTATTAGGTGGGTAGATGAAAGAAGCTTGAATTCAGACAAAATAGTGACTATGTAAATAGCACAATGACACCTGTTGAAGTAGTTTTGTGAAGAAGGAAGAGAGAATAATAGAAGAATTGAGACTGATTAAAAATATTGCAAACGTTTGGAAATATAACATTGAAACCCCATATTAACTAATGAAAGCTAAGAAAAAAATAGCTAGTAAATAAACAGATTGAGAAAGAGTGATAATGTCCAAAAAGATATGTACTCTTTACCTGACTTACGTAACTGTAACACCTTTGTATATCACCTTTATAATAACAATTTTAAAATTATATTAAAGATTTTAAAAATAAGAAATAACAATAAAAAAGATTGTAAAGGACCATGCCAGGCTTGAAATGGATAGTATATAATTGTATTTGAAAAAAATCCCTATACACCTAGTTACCGGTAGCTCATATCTGTAATCCTAGCTACTCCAGAGATTGATATTTAAGGATTACAGTTTGAGTCCAGTCAGGGCAGGAAAAGTCCATGAGATTCTTATCTCCAATAATCACCAGAGAGCCAAGAGCTGTGGCTCAAGTGTAGAGTGCTACCTTGAACAAAAGCTCAGGCACTGAGCATTACCCAGGCACTGAGTTCAAGCCCCAGTACCAGAACAAATAATGATGATCACGATGATGATAACAATAATAACAATGTCCTATATGCAATGCTAAAGGGTTCATATTTTCCTGACATTTTTATGTAGAGCTTGCATTATAAGCATATAAAAAAGTACTACTAATATAGTCCATATATTTATACATGTTTACTACATATGTATACTATATGCACATACTATATATAGAAAGTTTAAAATAGTTGATCAAATTTGAAAAAGAGAATTGGGTTTCTGAGTTTTTTTAATTCTAGTATTTAGTAGTTTAAAAATCAACAAATTCAGAAGAATGGTGTAGTTACCTTAGATTCACGCAATTTCCAAGCTCTGGTGGAATTTGTAAGAGGTCATTATTTTGAAGGTCCAATGTGATCAGATTTTCCATCATCTTCATTTTCCCAGGGTCTAGAGATCCAACCTGATTGTTACTAATCAGAACAGTTTCTAGTGTGGGGATACGATACAGAACTTCAGGGAACGTTTTGAACCTATTAATATATGAACAGAACACCTAAATATACTGGAACTAGAAGTTAAAATCATTCCTTAAAAAGATTATGAATTATGTCATGAAATAATGTTTTCTTTAGGAATTAAGTCTTACATTCAAATTTCCTAGAAGAAAATATATTAATTTTAGAAACCTTGCAATACATGCTAAGTGGACAAACATAAGTTACTACCAATGATAAATCAAAAATCCAACATTTGGAATAAATTCTTTGTTGTTTTACTGTTCATATTCAGTAAAACATTCAGACGTAAAGAAATTCGATGGTCTCATGCAGGCATTCTTTCCTAGTTCATTTATTATAAACCACTATCTATACATAAAGTACAATTTGTGATATTTTTTTAAATATACAAAGTTCATTCCAAAATGATCTTTGTATTTTTCCAAAGATGACACCAAGCAAAGATTCTTGCTCTCCAAAGCAAAAGACAGAAGAGTGGGGGGGGGGGGCTCTCAGGAATACTAAATTAACCTCAAATCACAGAGGGTCCCATGGTGTGCAGTCTGGTTGCTACAGTATAAGTTAAATTGTAACCTAGGCTAGAAAAAACAAGAATAGGCTGATGGAGAGGATTTCATAGATGTGATCTTTTCATTTCTCCATACTTCCCTTCCCTTGCTGTTAAAAAGTTCATTGGCTTTATGCCAGTGGTTCACACCGTAATCCTAGCTACTCAGAAGGCTGGTTCAAAGCCATGAGGCTAATATCTCTAGTTACCAAAAAGCCAGATGTGGAGCTTTAGCTGAAGTGGTAGAGTGGCAACCTTTAGTGAAAATACTAATGGACAGTGACCAGACCTGAGTTCAAGTCTCAGCACCATCACAAAAAAAGAAAAAGCAAGCGGCAACAGTGAAAGGGAAGCTCAAGACAACTCTGAAGTTCCAGTGTCACTTGAGAGCGAATAACCAGTGATACAGATGGCCCAAGTTACTCCAAAAAAGCCTCTCTTTTCTTTACCAGCCCCCAACCATGAACAAAATAATTATAAAAGATGAAGCTCATTTTTTAACACAGAACTTAGGGCTAGTTTGCACTACTTCCCCAAATACGTTACTTATAATACAACAGACAGTTCAATAGGCAATTCAATAGAGAAGTGATAGCTCAATTTACAAATAAAAATTAAGAGACACCTGAGAAGTATGCTTAAACAGCAATATGGCTATAAACTATTTGTATAAGAGAACACAAATACTGAAGCCAACATAGCAAATATCAAAATGAGAAGTATACATTTTAACAACACTGCATTATTTATATATAAGCTTGCCATTAGTATTTTAAAAATTGCTACTAGCATCAATTTTCATCATAAAAAACTATGAAACAATGACTAAGAGCTCAATTGGATTCAAACTACCTAGATTCAAATACTAGCTCTATAATTTATTATTTAAGTATGCTTAAGTTATTTAAATCTTCCATTTTTAACTAGACATAATAATAGAACCTACCATACAAGATTTTTATAAGGATGAGATGATATATCCAAGTGCAAAGTACAGCACCAGCAATAACTAGCTCCCAGAGATGTGAACTATTCTTAATCATCTGTAGTATTTTGATCATGTTTGCATACAAAAAAATCTAATTTCATTTAGCATAAAAAGCTCTTAAAGGTCTAGCTACTGTTTACATGTCTAAGTTCATCTGTTATCCTCTAGATCTTCAATTTATGGACTACACAGGGTATCTGAATTTCTTGAAGTACCTCAAACATACCAAGTTATAACTTATTTGTACTACAGCACATGCTATTCGTTGTAACTGGTAGTTCCTTTTCCTGTATGCCTGGCAATGTCCATTGCCTCAGTTTCAAAATTACCTTCTCTAACTTCAGGTAATCTCAGAATATTTCTTTTCTTATGTGTTGTGATTCTATTTAAGCAATTAAAATCATTTATTTGAATATTTGTCTAAATAAATCTATTTGTCTAGATAAATCTAAAATTTAGATTTCTCAAAATGGTAAAAGAGAATAAAAATCTGCTATATATCAAGTGAAAATTCTAAGCAAGTTATATCACTTTCAAGTATATTGAATGAATGAAAATAATATTGGATAAATGAAAATAAAATATGACTACTAAAATAAAAATGGGCATTTTTATTGGGCTTTTTCTAGTTGTTTTCTCTAGTTAGAAAGACCTACATTTTTCTACAGAATGACTTCTAGAATTACCTTATTACTCTTACCTATTAAAGGACAGATTGATTGTTTGTAATCTTGTCAGTGATTCCATTTCTTCAGGCAAAGAATTTAAAATATTGTTTCTAATGGCAAATTAAAACAGAGGAGTTACAAAGTTTAAAACTTTCATTAAGTTTAATTTATAAATCATCAACTTTTTTTAGGGAAAAAAAACATTCATTTAAGTCCTTAATGTCAGTTCTTAATCTCATCTCATTATGGCTAAATTCTGAGTATTCTGAATCAGTCAGTGGCTCAAAATATTTAGTGTGCCAATATGCAGTCAACTCTTTCATAATAAATATAATGAGGTAGATACTGTAAATTAATTCTTTATCTCCTTTATAATGAATTCAGCAATCACACTCTATAGGATTTGGATCACAATGGTATACCACTTGAAATAAATATTCTTAATGATAATACATGTATCTTATATAAAGACAAAAATTTCGGAAGTGGCACTGTGGCTCAAGAGGTAGAGTGCTTGCCATGGGCTGAAGAGCTGAGGGACAGCGCCCAGGCCCAGAGTTCAAGCCCCACAACCGACAAAATAAATAAATAAATAAATGCAAATTTTTCAACTCCAGGAATATTTAGAAAACAGGAGAAAGTGAAAAGTGAAATAAAAGAGATTATATATGTTTAGAAACATCTATTCAATTGGTCTACTTCTATCTAAGTTTAGAATTTCAATTTATACAATGCTTGCTTATTTATATCTCACTACACTACAATAAACAGAATTATAGTTACTGTTGGAAGAATCTGGGAGCAATGTTATAATGAAAGCTAACAGCAAGGCAGAAAGTGTCTAGTAGAATTATAGCTACTATCAACAGAAAATACTTATGAGAATCAGGGCACCACTGGCTCATGACTGCAACCCTAGCTATTTGGGAGGCTGAGACTGGAAGAATCCAAGCTCAAGGCCAGCTGGGCAGAAAAGGTCAAAGATCCATTCTCAATCACAGATAGGCACAATGTAACACTCATTCTCAGCTATGAGGAAGGCTAAGATTAGAAAGACCTTTGATCCAAGCTGGCAAAGGTCCAAAAACCTCCATCTCCAAAAAGGAAAGCGGGATGCAGTAGCAAAGGCCTGTCATCCTAGCAACAATGGGAAGCCTTACATCCCACCACTCCCTGCACTACATATTGCATTCAAGACTAGCTTGGGATATGTGAGATCCTGCCTCAAAAACAGGAGAATAAGAAACACAGAGAGGAAGGCACAGTATGGGGAAACAAAGGAGGAGGCAACAATGCTTGATAAGAAATGTACTCACTATCTTGCCCATGTAATTGTAACCCCTCTGTATGGCTTTTTCACAATAAAAAAAAAAAAAGAAACACAGAAACACAGAGGGACAATTAGCATAAGAGCTATACTCTTTCATTTTTATGAGAGGTTTAGTGTATAGTTCAGTCAAGGGCCAGACTGTATATGCCACGAAATATCCGGCTAAAAAGAGCTAAGAAGCATAACTTTAAACTAAAACCACTTGTAATAACAATATAAACGTATGAGAGTAACCTGGGGAATAAAGATATTTTTACAAATAAAAATTTTAAATCAAGCCAAGTGCCAGTGACACTCCTGTAACCCTAGCTACTCTGGAGGCTGAGATCTGAGAATCCTAATCAAAACCAAACCAGGTTACAAAAAAGTCCATCAGATGCTTATCTATAATTAATCACCAAAAAGCCAGAGAAACAAGTATGACTCAAGTGGTAGAGCACCAGCCTTGAGTAAAAAAGCCAAGTGAGAGTATGAGGCACTCTAAGGTCACACCCCAGTACAAAATGAAAAATTTAAATTATATCAGAGCAAATAAATTACTATGTAATTCTGTTTCCCTTTAAAGAACTGTCAAACTTCTGATACTGTCACTCCAAATTGGACATAAACTAAACCTCATATTATTTATGCATAGATCAAAATAGTTTCTATTATTTTTGCCAGACATAGTATTCTTTTACTTTATGCCTTTGTGTATTAAATGTAGTATTTTAAACCAAGTAGGTTCCTTAAAGAGAAGTCATGCAAGCTGCTCGACTAGCGAGGGCTGTGTCAGCCCTCAACTATTTAGCCGGGCACCAGTGGCTCACACCTGTAATCCTAGCTACTCAGGAGGTTGAGATCTAAGGATCGCGGTTTAAAGCCAGCCCAGGCAGCAAAGTCCATGAGACTCTTATCTCCAATAAACCACTAGAAAACTGGAAGTGGCACTGTGGCTCAAGTGGTAGAGCGCTCACCTTGAGCTGAAGAGTGCAGGGTCAGTGCCCAAGCCGAGTTCAAGCCCCATGACCAACCAACCAAATAAATAAATAGATAGATAAATAAATACATGAAAGACAAGTTCTACATTTACCTATGGAATATGACTTAAAGGGCTAGTAAAGCAAACATCAAAGAAAAATTATAACTTTTTTTCTAAATCAAGCAAAGAGTATCAATAAATACCTTAGATCTAAAAAAGTCAATTTTTGAAGCATACATAACTCCACGGATATAAAGGAGAGTTTATTAAAACTGAGATTGACATCAGACACCATTTCCTTCAGTTCTACAATCCTGAAACAGAAACAATTTTAAAAATGTTACCAACTGCATCAAGTCAGAACTATATGCAGATTACTATATTACTTCTGCTAAAATGATTTTCTGTACTTTTTACTTTTTCACAAACATTCCAAAGATTTTACATGCATAAATAATAAGCATAAAACATTAAATGACCTTACTATTTTCTGTGTAAAATCTTCCACTTGACCTTAAGTGTATGTTGAAGCAATTTAAAACTCCACTTTTTCTGCGTTTAAGCCAATTAGCACAAAGGAGATTAATAGACCTATTCTTATATCTTAATTTGAATCCATAAAACAAATAGGTATGGATCTATAGCATAGTGATTTTCTATTTTTTTTCTACTAACTATATGTTACTTCAATATATTTAAATTTTGTTTGAAATATGTCAACTTTGTTTGGGTATATGGTTTTCTGCAAGATAACCAATATTTTTCAAAAGTTCAGAGACATAAAAGTTCACAAACTAAAGATTTTGCTAGCTCACAACAATAAAGATGCATTAAACAGTACAAATTACCTATTAATCCACTGCATTGGGTGAGCTCTTTAACAATTTACTTGTGATGTTCATTATTATTATTTTCATGGGGGGGGGTGTCTTGGGACTTGAGCTCAGGACTGGGGCGTTGTTCCTGAGCTATTTTGCTCATCTAGAGCTCTACCACTTGAGCCACAGCTCCACTTCTGGACTTTTGGTGATTAACTGGTGCCAGAGTGCCACTTCTGTATTCTGGTGTTTAACTGGAAATAAGAATCTCACGGACTTTTCTGCTTGGGCTAGCTTTGAACTGCAATCCTCAGACCTCAGCCTCTTGACTAGCTAAGGATTACAGGTTTGAGCCACCAGTGCCCAGCTTTTTCCTCTTGTGTTTGTTAGAAAGAAAAAGTAATTTCATATTTTAAGAATTCTAATATCTATTTTCCTTTACAGTGTATGAGAAATAAGGTGTTCACAATAATATATACTACTCAAAACAATTGAAAAAGTAATAATAGTAATACAGGAAATTTAAGTTTATTACTTAATTTGTTTAAACCATGGGAAATCATTTTACAAATAAGATGTAATACAACTGAGAATAAATGATGTTTTAATGGAAATTGCAGTGAAAAGAGTTCTTACCTTTTCGGAATTTCAGATAGATGATTCTTACTGAAGTTAATAGAAGTGATTATGTTGCCTTTCACGGAATCAAATACTTCATCAGGAATCAAAGCTGTTTGCTTATCACTAAATGAAAAATTATTTTTAAAATGAAATATTCTTATCAATCCAGAAGATGACTATTGCTGTTTGTTATTACGGTTTGATTATTACCATTTTTTTTAATTTAAAAGTGCTGCCAAAAACAAAACAATTACAAAAAAACCTGAGAACATTTTGAAAGTGGTACTGTGGCTGCAGTGGTAAAACACGAGCCTTGAACACAAAGAAACTCAAGGACAGTGCCCAAGTCCCTGAGGTCAAGCCACAGGGCTGGCAATAAATAAATAAATAAATAAATCAAGTGCTGGAGGCATGGATGCCTCGTGAGCATGAAGCTCTGAGTATTCAAATCCCAGTATTGCCAAAACATTACACAATAAAAAATATTTTATAAAGTTTTCAAACTAATTCTGAAATTTTGTGAAGAATGACACAAAAACTTACAAACACATAAAGTGTTAGGAATTCAGAAAGTTAGGAATCCAGAAAATATATTGTGTCACATCTGCACGTTTCACATGTCCAAGTGTGGGGTGAAAAGAACAGACATATTTTTAGGGTGTGGGAAACCTATAAGTAATATAGTAAGTGAATAGTTCTTTCTTCTACTGCTCAGTAAGGAAATAGAAAAACTTAGAAAAAATTATATTAAATGAAGTAACCCAGACCCAGAGACACACAAGTTGCATGGGTTCCCTAATTTGTGGAAGCTAGCATGTACCTATAAATCTGGAAGTAAACACTGAGTAGCACCCAAACAGTTATAAATGAATTAACTGAAGTATAACAGATTCTTTGGACAATGCAAATAGTATAATTCTTTAGAAAGACTTAGTAAAAGCCCAACAAAGTAAGTACCAGAAAATGGGTATTTGTGCCAGGGGAAGGGCAAATGGAAAGAGGTAGAAGAATGAATGGGAGAAATGAATAGAATGCAAGCAAGGACACATTGCACATGCCACAGAACTGGCAAAAATAAGGGAAGGGAATGAGTCGAAGGGGGATGAAGATATTAAAGGGATGACACAGATCAAGATGCATTGTATATATAAATTGCTTTGTAGAACTTAACCTCCTGAGTAGCTAGGATTACAAGTGTGAGCCACTGATACCTGGCCCATGTAGCTTTTTTTTTTTCTGAAGGACTCTTTTTCAAAATTTTCCCTATGTGTTTTGTAATATTTACAACAATGAATTACATACCTGTAGTCTAATAATTTTAATGTGATGATAGAGTGTACATTGACTCTGGACTCACTTGGTAGTGTCATAGCAGTCTCAGTACGAGAGTCACTCTGGCTAGGTTCATCATCTGGCAAAAGAGTTATATAAAACCAAAATTTATACTATGAAGTCATTTTTAAATTCTTTTTTTGTGTGTGTGCCAGTGCTGGGGCTTGAATTCAGGGCATGACCTTTGTCTCTGAGCTTATTTTGTTCAAGGCTAGCGCTCTGTCACTTCAACCACAGCTCCACTTCCAAGTCTCAGACTTTGCTGCCTGTGCTGGCTCTGAACCAAGATCCTCAGATCTCAACCTTTTGAGGAATTAAAAGTTAATCCTAACCACCCAGAAGGATCATAGCTCAAAGCTGGCCTGGGCAAAAAAGCCTATGAGGTTCTTATCTTTATTTTTTTTTATTTTTTTTATTGTGAAAATACTGTACAGAGGGGTTACAATTACATGGGCAAGATAATGAGTACATTTCTTATCAAGCATTGTAGCCTCCTCCTTTGTTTCCCCTTCCCATCCCTTCCTAGCCCCCCACCCCCCACCCACCAAAGTTGTAAAGTTCGTTTTCGACAGGACAACTTGTACTGTCCAGCAAAAAGCCACTAAAGAGGGATGTACTCTTCTAAAAAGGGGACTGATCTGAAAGATAAATTTACTTGTCATTAATTCTCACAAATCGGTTAATTTTTTATCACATTCATTTCATATGTACTTAAACCTAAATAATAATTTTAAAAAATTCATTTGGGTGCTGGTGGCTCATGACAGTAATCCTAGCTACTCAGGATATTTTGAGGTTCATAGTACAAAGCCAGCCCAGGCAGGAAAGTCCATGAGACTCTTATCTCCAATTTACCACCAAGAAGGCCTGAAATGGAGATCTGGCTCAAATAGTAGAGTACTAACCTTGAATAGAAAAGCTCAAGCCGGGCGCTGGTGGCTCACGCCTGTAATCCTAGCTACTCAGGAGGCTGAGGTCTGAGGATCGCAGTTCAAAGCCAGCCCGGGCAGGAAAGACCGTGAGACTCCTATCTCCAGTAAACCACCAGAAAACCGGAAGTGGCGCTGTAGCTCAAGTGGTAGAGCGCTCGCCTTGAGCTGAAGAGCTGAAAAAAAAAAAAAAAAGAAAAGCTCAAAGACAGCACCCATTTTCTGAGTTCAAGCCTAGGACCAACACACATATACAAAATCAAATTTAAAAGTCCCACTAAATAGCAAGTTCAATGAATGAAAGCAGAGACACACCAAAGTATTATAATTTTTTTTTTAGTATTGGGGTTTAAACTCTGGGCCTCATGCTTGCAGTTGCTCTACTACATGAATCACATCCTTAACCCTACTATCATCAAAACAATGGGAGAAAAGTTTCCAGTGAGAAAAACACCCTATTAGCTGTGCAAGTAACTGGTTGCAAAATAATAGAGGACAATCCATTAATCTGGGAAAAGAAAAAGGGTGTGTGTGTGTGTGTGTGTGTGTGTGTGTGTGTGTGTGTGTGTCTGTGTGTGTGTCTGTGTGTGTGTCTGTGTGTGTGTGTGTGTCTGTCTGTGTGTCTGTCTGTGTGTCTGTCTGTGTGTCTGTCTGTGTGTCTGTCTGTGTGTCTGTCTGTGTGTCTGTCTGTGTGTGTGTGTGTGTTCTGGGAAAAAGGGGTGTGTGGGTGTGTGTGTTCTGGGAAAAAGGTGTGTGTGTGGGTGTGGGTGTATGGGTGTGTGTGGGTACACGCACACACGCTGGCTTCTAAGGCTTTAACTCAAGGCCTGAGTGCTGTCACTAGTTCCACTTCCAGCTTCTTGGTGGTTCACTAGAGATGGATTTTCCTTCCTTGTCTGGCTTGGAACCACCACCATCCTCACATCTCAGCCTCCTGATTAGCTAGGATCACAGGAATGAACTACCAGCACCATGAACAACACACTCTTTTATTCAGGTGGGAGAGTAGTACTGGAATTTGAAGTCAAGGCCTTGCCTTGCATTTGTTAGACAAACACTCTACCACCTGAAGCACACATAAGACCCTTTTGCTTTTTTTTCAGATACGGTCTCAACTTTTTCCAGGGCAACCTTAGACCACAAACTACTTATCTCCACTCCCACAAAACTGGGAATTCCAGCTTATTTTTTGAAATAGGATTTTGTTACTTTTTATGGTTTAGGCTATCATGGAATCATGATCCTCCTACCTACACCCTTGCAAAGCTGGGATTACAAGGGTATTTTTAGGAAATTCTCCACATTGATTTATTTGATGAGCTAGAGGACATGTGGGCCATTTATTTGAATGCATGTCACCTACTCAGGGTCCTCAGGGCTTCAATTTATATATTTGAAGCAAGCACAATTGATTATTCTGCACTTGTAGTAGTACATTTGTTTTTTTTTTCCTTCATTCTGTAACATCAACATATTTATTAACTAGTAAGTACTACTACAGTAAGACATGAAGACAGAAGATGAACTGAGTTCTAGTGAACAAGATAAACAGAAAAACCACAAAACATGGTACAGGTGTTAAGTACATATTTGTGAGATCAGAGTTTTGTGGAGAAGTAGGAAAGCCTTATGTGATTTAGAAGTGCCTGGGAAATCTCCCAAAAGAGTAACTACCACAGAAGAAAGGCAAACATGTGCCTGTCTACAGAATTTAAAAGAATTTGGTGCTGTGTTAAAACGTTTTAATATCTGATTTTATTATCCTGCATTAAAATGAAAGAAACCAAATAAATACTTATTTTCTAAAGCAAGAGAGCTAGGGTTTAGGAGGAGGAGTGAACCTTAGGAAAACCACTAACAGTATTGGCAAAGCTTATAGATACTATAAACTCTATATAAACTCTATGAACCAAATGAGTGCCTACAGACAGGAAAAAAAGCCAAGTCCTTGAAGGAAAAGTGGTCCATGATATGGTATTTGAGAGGGAAGAGTATAATGGCACAAATATGATCCCCAGTATAGCAAATCAGTCTTACCTGGACACTTGTTAAAAATATAATTTTTCAACCAGGCCTAGTGTTACACAACTGCCAATCTCAACACTTAGGAAACTGAGATAGGTTGTGAATTCTCTGACCATCCTGAACTACAGAGTGAGTGTGAGGTAGATCCTGCCTCAGGAAAAAAAAAAAAAAGAAAAATGCAAACATTTTGGCTCCACTTATAAGAAATGTGAGAGTGAGGCCTAACAATCTGTTTTACCAAGCCCTCAGTGATTTCAACAGACATTAAAGTTTACAAACCACTATTTTCTTTTGTTGAGTACACCACTTATATTTTTAAAAAAAGATTAGTAAGAAATTTCAAAGAAACTGAAAATATATCAAATTATACAATATGTGCATAATTTATGGGAAGATTTGTACAGTTGATTTAACAAATCTACTGGAAATTTTATTTAAATTTACTACAGTGCTTAGGCTCAAGCCCAGGACCTTACACATTCCAGGCAAGTGTGCTATCACTAATCTACAACTCACCCTAGTATAGTAATTTTAAAGAAACAGGATCTTGCAGCTTAATAGTGCAAAAGTGTTAGTGAGCATCATTGAAGTTTGATGTAAGTCTAAATTATTTTTGCTAGGGGACAGTATGTTTCCTTTCCTTTGCTAATAGCCACACATATTCCCTGGTTCACAGTCTTCTTCTTCCATCTTCAAAGCCAGCAATAATTGGTTTTTCTTACATTGTATCATACTGACCTCCTCTTTAGCATCTTCTGTCTGTTTTTAAGAATCCTTGTGATAATGATAATGTTGGGCATTGCATTTAATCTATTACAACATCTTTATTTTACTCTTATTTAAATGATGAGCAGGGGCTGGGAAGGTGGCTCAGTGGTAGAGTGCTTGCCTTGCATGACTGAGGCCCTGGGTTCAATTCCTCAGCACCACATAAGCAAAAAGAAAAAAGCCAGAAGTGGTGCTGTGGCTTAAGTGGTAGAGCACTAGCCTTGAGCTAAAGAGCTGAGGGACAGCGCCCGGGCCCAGAGTTCAGGCCCCACGACCAGACCCCCCCCAAAAAAAAATGATGAGCAATCTTAATTGCCTTCTGCCATATAAGAACAGTACCTCGTTGCAGGGATTAAGATGTGGAAATTGTGAGGTTAATATTCTATCTACTGCAAGATGGTACAGATAATACAATAAGAAATTACACTGCAAAGTAAAGGCAGTTTTAGCAACAAATAACTAAGCTTAAAAATTATGTTGACTAGCCGGGCACCGGTGGCTCACGCCTGTAATCCTAGCTACTCAGGAGGCTGAGATCTGAGGATCTTGGTTCAAAGCCAGCCAGGGCAGGAAAGTTTGTGAGACTCTTATCTCCAATAAACCACTAGAAAACTGGAAGTGGTGCTGTGGCTCAAGCGGTAGAGTGCTTGCTCTGAGCTGAAGAGCACAGGGACAGTGCCCAAGCCCAGAGTTCAAGCCCCACAACCGACAAAAAAAAAAAAATTATGATGACAGAGATCGGAAGAAGATGGTGGAGGAGAAGCTGGAGGCTAAATAAGCTCTCACATAGAAATCAGTTTTACTGTTCCAGTGAACAGTCATAGGTTAGAGAATCACACCAAGTGTGTCGTCATGGTACAGAGAGTTTGGCCAGGGAGGGAAAATCCAGGCAGCTTGATCAAGGAGACAGATCTGAGCACTTGCCAGTAGCATTGGATGCAGCAGCTGCGGTGGCAGCCATAACCGCCATACCAACAGAGAAAGTCTGGGACACAAAGGCACCAGACGGAGCATGCCAGCAGATTCTACTCACTACCAGCAAGAACTGATGAGGAGCAGAAATCTTCATCTTGCTGATCGAAAACCATAGACAGTCCAGGAACCAAGAGCCTAGCTTGAGTAGAACCCTGACATCCTCACTCCTTCTCACCACCTTCTCACCTCCACCTTTGATACTGACAAAGACTAGGCTGAGCAGCTAGCTCCAACCCAGGCCTTGGAAGGAAACAATTGGAGCCATTAGCAGGACACAGGAACCTGACCTGACTAGCCAGGCTCAGCTTCACCCAGGGGAAAGTCACACCACCCAGGCAGAGGAAATCCGCCCCCAGAGGAGTGACTATCTTCACTGGGTAAA